ACCCCATTTTCCGGACTGCGAACAAAATGCGAAGCCTCCTCCATTCGGCCTCAGGAATTCACATTTTTAGAAGAATTGAGTCGGGGACAAAAAGGAGACTTGGGGAATGGACATTCCATGCATTGGAAATAGGGAATGCAAACAATGAAGGTGTTTTATTTTAGACAAGGGAATGGGGGTTGGTCTTGATTTGATTTTGAGACAATCTAAATTGACATAAATAATAAATCCCACACATACAATCTCTCCCCCCTCCCCCGTTTAAAATTATGTTGGTAGGTAAGTGATGTTGTATAAACGATTCTTCTTTAATGTATATAACGTTATCCACCTGGGTACATTTCTTTTTCACCTGGTTCAGAACGCTATTAATCATGTGAAGGTCCGCGAAAGGTATTCATACAAGTTTATTGAAAAAAAGAGACAAGAATACACATAATAGAGCTTATTGAACATGCAACTTACTAATTTTCACTATTTATTTTTAAGTGCAAAGTATGGAGGGGCAAGCTTGGCTGTTTAATTTCGATGGTTTGTAAAATCAATCGCTGCAAATCAAGTTTGTCCTAATTTTTGTCCTAAATTCAGATCTACAAAATAGGAAAATTCAGCTTTGGGAGGTAATTTTTTAATGATTTATTGAATCCGTCAAAATTGATAGTAAGCACGAAAAGAGACATACGGGTAGACTAACTTCATTAATGTGGTAGGAACATATTAAGTAAAAGGAGTAAAAGGAAAGGCGAAAAAAGGAGGGGAGGAGGGAAGCAACCTCTGCGGACTGTGCTAAACCACGCAACCGGAAGGTGGGGCTCATGACTTAATATTGAAAGCAAGCATCGTTTCCTTAACAAACCTTTAAAAACCACACCCATCAGCGCTAGGCAGGACAAGCTATGTAAATAGGGAGCCAACCTCAAACTCACTAGCACTGATGATATTATCTAGTTGGGTAATGAAAGGTCTGAAAGCAAACAAGGTTTTATTTATTAAATCGATTTATAGGCCGCCCAATCCCGGAGGACTCCGGGGCGGCTAGAGAGGTTAGATAGCAGTAGACTTATATACCGCTTCATAGGCCTTTCAGGCCTCTCTAAGCGGTTTACAGAGAGTCAGCATATTGCCCCCAACAATCTGGGTCCTCATTTTACCCACCTCGGAAGGATGGAAGGCTGAGTCAACCCTGAGCCGGTGAGATTTGAACCGCTGACCTGCTGATCTAGCAGTAGCCTGCAGTGCTGCATTTAACCACTGCGCCACCTTGGCTCTAAGAGAGCACCAAGGACTCCATAGCTGTATATACTATATTTTCCTCTAAGGGAAACCTCTTAAACTTATTTGGCTTTTAAGAACCTCTACTTCCAGGGGCAAGAGACCTGAGTCAAAGTTAAAATGACCTATCTACTGGGAGTAAACCAAATCCTGATTTCTAGAGTCAAAATTAAATCATGATTTAAAGTAGATGGAAAATTGTTCCCCCTTTGCCTTGCTACTGGACATAGCAAATATTACTTGCAAAAGTACCTCTAAAGTAAGCCCTCACCCTACAATCTTTCTCTTTGTGTTCTCAGGTTGACAAGAGAAAGAGAGGAAATGTGCTCACAGATGGAGGGCCTTTGCAGAAGACTGGGAACTGGAGAGTATCCCAAAGGGGGGAGGGGATAATATCAAGTATCCCCCTTGTCCAAAATATATATTGATTCCCGCTTTTTGCTCCTGCATTCCTCTTTTTAGATGGATTTAGTCAGGTGGAAACATGGTGTGTTAACTGATCCCCGGCAAGCCTGGGAAGAAATCTCTAGGTCTTTGGATCGGAGGATCAACAGGAATATCGTCATGTTCAATAAAATAAAGAATACGAATTCCCCGAGTTTAGAAGTACATATTGAGGAGTATGCAGGGCCAGTTTGGTGTAGTGGTTAAGGCATCAAGAGACGGTGAGTTTGGATCCCGCCTTAGGCACAAAGATAGGTGGATGACCTTGGGTCAGTCACTTTCTGCTCTAGGAAGGAGGCAATAGCAAACAATATATCTATACACACACATATATATTTTTAAAAACTTGCCAAGAAAACTTGGGGACTTGTTCAAGCAGTCTCCGAGAGGACACTTCCTCCGAGAGGAAAAAAATCCTGGCTTCCCTTGTTGGTAGTTTGCCCAGTCCTTTGTTTCCTGCTTCACGTGTAATTCTTCCTACCATATGGTTAAGGAGTATAACGGCGGAGTTTCTCTTGTCCCCTCCTTCACCTAACAAGTAAGTAGGCACCACAGTACGCACAGCAGATGCTACCGACTGTAAAATCCGAATCAATTGACGGGCGAAGTCATTTTGAAACGTCTAAGTGTCTCCCGGAGGCTTACGGAGCATCTCTGGAGAAAGGGCACGGCACGAGAGAGCAGCTATCCTTGAACTTGGCCCCGGTGCCTTTCCTTTTGGTGATCGTCGTCAACCTCTCGTTGAGTTTTATGCATTTAATTCTGCGAGACAACAACCCCCGGAGTGGGTGCGAAGCAAGGCTGCTAGTTGAAGAGTGTGGCTATCAACGCAGAGAGAAATAAATTGAGGCCCTAAAATAAAACCGGGACCTTTGTTTGAGGTTTATGACCGACGCGCTGAATGGGAGAAGAGGCCGTCATTTGCCATGGGCCTCTGTTACAGATTAAAAGGTCGAAGTTGGACCCCAAAGAGGAGCAACCACGTAGTCTGGGAAGTTGTTTATAAACCAATGAGCCATTTCCATTCTGTGTGTAGGGTTTTTTTTTTTTTAGGTTTCTAAAGTTTCTTCGGAGAAAGAAAGGGCTAAAGAAAAAAGGCGGGAAGTTTCAAAATACTAATCACTGTCCTATATTTGTTTTCTCATGCATTTTATATCACATATTTATTCGTTTTTAAGTATCGTTGATCATATTGTGTCAAATAATAAATACAGTACTGCTTATGCAATCTCTGTATTATTTTGGATAATGTACTGTGCAATACAAAAATATATAAATAGGCGATATACTTGCACATCTTCGCATCAGTCGGTGACGCAACGTAGGGTCAGATACGTAGCGTGTCCTTTCCTATAGAATCATAATCAGTGCGAGCGCCAGAGACGTTTCTAAATACTTCTGCAAAATTAGAATTTTAGAAAAGATTTTCGTTTGTTTAGGGGTACTTTGCGAGCAGCACCTCACTCCCCTTCTCAAGCTCCTCCCACAGAGTTTGGCTTGCTTCGGCGTGCGGCTGGTGGGTTCCAGTGGAACTGCGGAGATCCGAGGGCTAACCAACCCTCCTGCGCCACTTGGCATGGCCATTTCAAAATCTCAGCCTCCAGATCCAATATAACCAATAGATATTCCGAAACGTAAATGTCTCTCGTTGTATTGACCGGAAAAAATCAGTTGCTCTGAATGCCACTTCTTGGCGAACGATTTACAGCATCTTCCAGCGTCACCCAGCCGTTGTTGCGGCAATACAAAGGCTGCCTGTTGCCAAGGCAACTTGGAGACTCCATGTGGTCACCAGGAGACCACTCAATCGGAAGCTTTAGCGATGACATCATCGCTATTCTGTCGGCTCCGCGACCCTTTGAATGACGCCATAAGACCCCCGTAAAGACCTTTCACTAAGATGATGGGACCTGCTCCTAAGTCCCCGAATGCTCTTGTCCTCGACTTCTGAAGGCGCGTGGATTGCAAGGATTTTCCCTTCCAGCTGCCTGGATATCTGAGCAGACTTTCAAAGCAATAGAAAGCGGAAAGCGTCAAAGTTGCACGATGCGGAACCCGCGACTTGCAAAAGCGCGTATGCATGTTTCTATGTCCCCTTTTTAAATACGTATATAGGAAAAAAACCGTTATGATTCCAGAATGACCAGGGCAAGATTTGACCCCGGAACTATTGCAACAAAATTTATTTTGATTGATACCTCTAGGAGGGGATTAAAATAATATGAAACATTAAAGATGGCTTTTCCTTCGGTATGCAGTAACTTGTGTTTATTACATTGCAAATTCCCTCACGGCTTTTTTCAGTGTCTTCAAAGGCACTTTTAATTTGTTTTTGGTAGTATGCAAATACTGTATGAATCATCATCAACAAGAACAAAAGCTTCAGGCGGTGGTCAGCCCTCATATGCGGCACGAAGTCTTAAAATAAAATATATAATGGTAATCTTATAGTATAGGCAATTATCTTACCTCTCCGCAAAATAGATTATGCTAAGTATGCATGATCATAGGTGAGTACGCACACAGTATATATATTTATATATAGCATAATATTGTAGTGTGTGTGTGTGTATATACATATACACATACATACATGCACTACAATATTACACAGATTAGAGATAACTATTCTTTCACCTCTGTTTTATATTTTCATTCAGCTAAATGACAAGTGGATCCCACAGCAAATGAGCCATCGAGGTCACTGAAAATTTATTTTACATTCGGGTCGATTTTAGGCGACTTTATTATTTGGGGGGGGCTTTCGCTACTCTCTCTCCCCCACCCCTTAAAGCAGCTCTGAATTACTGAATTTCAGACAAAGAAAGCAAGGTCGCAGAATAAAAGCCCTAAGGCACCTTCTTTTCAAGGAAAAGAAAGGAAAAATAATTGCACACGGTGTCTTCTCCTCTTTCCCCTTTCTCCCGCTCTTATAAAATCAGAAAAAGGGCGAGGAGGGTATCGCTTGGTGGTGGTGGTGTTTTTTTTTAAAAAAAATCGGCTGTTCCCGCAGTGATTTAATTTAATTAATTTCTCGGGGGAAACAAAGCAGCAATAGCAACCATAATAATTAAAATATATTATTAAGAACAAATTTAAAAGGTGACGAGAGATCAGGGGAGGCCCTCAATAGGGCCGCCGCCTCTTAGCAGAAGGCCTCGGAAGGTGGGGGCGGGAGGCTTTGGAGGCCTCACGTGGGCGACCCCGCGGGAGTTCTTGCTCCCCCCGATTTTTCCTTGGCCTGTTCCCTCCAGGCCACCTTCCTTCCTTCCTTCGCGCGTGTCTCAAGAGGCGTCGTCACCGCCTCCACTACTGCCGCTGGCGGTGGCGCTTTTGACCTTGGCCACCACTTTCTTCTCCTTCACCCTCCGGTTCTGAAACCAGATGGTGATTTGTCTCTCGGTCAAGTTAGTGGCGGCGGAAATCTTCCTCCTCTTGTCCTTGGTGATGAACTTGCTGCTGGAATATTCCTTCTCCAGCTCTTTCAGCTGCCCTTTGCTGTACGGGATTCTCTTCTTGCGGCCGCGTCGGAAGGTACAGCCCTCGGGGGGCGATTGACTTACGGCGTCTGTCCGGAGGGAAGAAAGAGAGACGGGGGTTAAAGCAGCCAAGAGTTGGAGGGGCAATCAGGCAGATTGGCAGGCGCACATGTTCACTAACACCCCCCCTTCAAGCCCTTTGTTAGCCGTTTCTCCGGGGCCCCGGAGAGGGCAGTGGGCGCTCGGAGTACCCCTTTCCCACACATGCTCACTGGTTTTTGTCCCCCGCCCCCAGTTTATCCCCCACTCTTAATTTTTCCTTATTTTCGCATTCCATCCTCCAAGACCGGGCTGGAGAATCCTTCTCCTTTATATTAAATTTTCGTCAAAACATCTGCGCAAAATGCAGCGAGGCCCATAACGTGAGCCAAGAAGGCATCAGCATGGGAGGAAACGGGTATTTCGGCCTATTCTTAGGATAAATTTATCTGGCTCTCCCCCCCCCCCCCCCCCCCCCCCCCCCCCCCCCCCCCCCCCCCCCCCCCCCCCCCCCCCCCCCCCCC